TGATTCTCAAGATAGGTTTGGGACAGGAAAGCAGAAGTCTTTGATCATGTTTGACCCTACACTTAAAATAAAATAAACGCGAATAAATAATACCCAAATAAAATGCGGTAGTGGTCGGAAACTCTGGTGTAATTTCAACGGGAGCGGGCAGTAAATATACAGCCCTCAGACAGAACAGGCAGGTTGTCGATGAGTGACAGAGCAGAATAAGGATGGAGCAAAATGTGGATGCGCTGTCCTTGAAGGACGTTCAACTCAGTTTTGTTTATATTTGTCAGTCCTGTGTTCCTATATCTTGTGTTTTGTTCCCCATGTTCTCTTCTTGACCCAGTTTCTCCTGTGTTTGTGCCCATATTTGGTTTTCCTGTTCCTGTTCCCGTTTGAGTTCCATTTGTTTCAGCTGTGTCTGATTAATTTACTCGTTTAGTTCTGATTACTTAAGTCCTGTGTCTTTCCATGTCCAGCATTCGGTATTGAACCTCTACCCTTCGTGATACGTGTGTGTACCTGTCTGTTCCGTGTACCTCTTTATTTGGATGAATAAAGACTGTTGATGGTTAATCTCCTTTGTCTCTGCGCTCCTTCATATCTGACACAATAGCAGTGTATCATGACAATATTTTGCTTTGCCTATAATTTTAAATGACAGATGTTGTTTTTATTTATTTATTTTTCTCTGCGACACTTTTCTTACTGTGTTAACAGAAAAATGTCAAATGAATTTAGTATTTTAACAAGATTAATAAAAATAGCTAATATGCTATTTTTGCACAGCCTACATTTTTATTCTCTCTGCAACACATTTTCCTATTGTGTTGTAAATGTTAAAAGAAATGTATCCTGACAAGATGAATAAAAATAAGAAATACAATATTTGTACAACATTTTTATTTCACTGTGACACTATTTTTACTACTGTGTTGTCAAAGTCAATAAATGCAAGACTCTTGAAAAGATGAATAAAATAACAAATACAATTTTGTGCAGACTACACTTTTATTTGTTAACCTATCACGCTTTCTTTCAGTGGTGGAAATTTAAATGTGAGATTCTGGAAACGAGATCTAAAGACAGCGGGTGAACAAAGAGTGAATATATAGCGGGAGCGGGTGGGTGCGGAATATAACCTTGCGGGAGCGGGACATAATAAAATAGTCCCGCGCAGTTGTGTAATGTAATGAAGTAATACTTTTGTTTTGAGAGTATATGTACTTTATTTGAGTTTTTATATTTCAGCCACCTTTTACTTTTACTCCACTACATTTCCTAATTAAAATGTATACTTTTACTCCGATACATTTCCCTAAAGCATATTCGTTACTTGCTACAAAATAGTCAGATGTCAGAAGAACACGGACTGCAGGAAAGCAGGTTTGACGAATTAGTGGTCTGACGCTTGCAAGTTAGACTCCTAAAAACACCATTGTTCATGCGCAAACAAGTGCGCGCACAACCGCGGTTGATTTCATTTCCCACTCAAGTCGAGGCTGAGGTGTGCAATATACAGTATATTGTCTACGGTATTAAGGTAAGTGTTGTTGTAATTATGTGCGATTTGACATTATAGAGTATATCACCAAATCACACACAGAAAGTGCGTGCACATGATTTATTAGTCTATTAAAACTCAAAATTCAAGGCATTCTGAATTGTAGATGGCAAAATGCTTCTGTATGCTTTTTATATTTTTATAATTTAAAATAGTTAACATAATCTATATCAAACAACAAGTACCATTTTCTGCAGATATCAGCATGATAACAAATTAATAATCATTTTATATCAGTTCAATAAAGTTAGCAATCAGTGACTTACATTTCAGACACAATTTTGCCAACAAAAATAGTTCCAAACAAAGATCACAGAACTGTTTTGCGTCTTTGAGCAATGGTGTTTACTTATTGAATTAATCAGCTTTTTGAACAAATCGGTTGAATAAATAATTCAGTGATTCACTCATTAACACAGTCAAATGCTTTGTTTCTGAATGAATCAGTTGTTTGAATGAATCTGTTTAATCTCAATGACTCACTCATTAACAGTCACTTGCTGCCACCTACTGGCGGTTTTAATTTCACATTTCGACTATTTTTTTTTCATGTTTTAAATCATTTCAAATATCAGTATTCATCGTTTTATGTTAAATACAAAACATTATTTATCCATCTGTAAATGCAGGTTAACCCTTTAGGCGCCAGGGTTTTTTGGAAAAAATGCTGGATTCGTGCCAGCCGAGAGAGAGACTGGCTGCGGTGAGTGAGTGCTCCGTGATAAAAGTATATTGTATTAATTGTATAACCATTTTATGGACTAATATTGATAAATACATGTGTTTAAATGAATACTGTATGATTTGTGTTCATGCTACATTATATTTGTGGTAACATCAAGTTTGTTCACCTTATTATAGAGCATGCCACGAGGGTGATTTGCGAATCTGATCACCGCTGTTTAATATGTTGTCAACAGAATAAAAGTCTGTCTTCAAGCGCGAATTGGTATCCATCCTGAGTTTTACACAACACAACGCAGAGACAACCCGTTACATGGGCATGACCAAAAGTTTATGTGGGGTGTAAATATACTCATCTAATTTGCATATTATGACGTCATCAGGGGCGCCCATCTTGAATTTCATAATATTCAGGAAATAGTAGATATTGAATTGATGTTTGAATTTATTTGCATGTTTTGTTTTGTTTTTGTCTTTTTATCCTCATTCCAAATGATCAGAAAAGAGGAAACCAACAATAAAACAGGAGAAAGTACTAAATTATTACTATATTGCAATACTATATAGTAGTGAAACACATGTGAACAGTAGCCTACTTTTTGATCAGTTCATCAGTAATATTCAGGAAAAATATATATGGAGTGGATATTTGAACTTTTTTTGTCTTTTTATCCTCATTCCAAATGATCAGGAAAAGAGGAAATCAACAGTAAAACTATTAGTAACTATAGTAAATTATTACTATATTACTGTGCCATAGTAAAATGCATGTGTCTATTTTTTGATCAGTTGACCAGCTATCTGGACAAAGTTTATAGTTCTTGAGAGTATGGTACCTCTCATTGCATGGCACAGCGCACAGACCTACCCCACACTGACTGCACCTGTACTTTTTAAGGGTGCAGCACTGGTCAAATCTTTCTCTCCTAGATAACCAACAGGCTCATCAAAGCATTTGATCTAGTCCTGATACACTTCTTCACTTCTCAAATAAACCCAGCCACCATTGTCATCGTTATTTCCAGCACTATTTAGATCCAGATCACCTCTGCTGCCTCTACCACGTCTCCCGGCTCTCCCACGCACAGCATGGCCACGTCTACCGTGGCCACTCCCACCTCTTTGGGGCGCTGGATCCAAAGAGCTAGTGCTACTTCCAGCCCTATATCTCATACCCCTGCTGCCTCTACCTCTAGCAACAGCTCTCCTATGGACACTACGACCACGTCCACCCCTGCCACCCCCATCCCCGTTGGACAAAGTGTCGAAATGATCACTAGTTTGTGCTTCGTGAACACTCTCGCCTTGCACGGCGGCACCATTGTGCTGGAAAGATGTACCGGGAGAAGCGCGATCATTAGACGACCAATCGTCATTTCCAAAAGGCAAATATTCCCCTTCAGAGTCAGAATCGGCAAATAACATTTGCAACAAATCCTCACGGTACAACTTTTTATTAGCCATTTGGCGATTTTCTCTCACAAATCTCACAATTTACTCACACACTATGAACTGAACTGCTTCCGCATCAATGACACGATAGCTCACTTGCTCTGCTATTTGCTCGAACATTTTGAATAGGAACATGACGTAATTTTGGTCTAGAATCGAAGTACTACATGTCTGCCACCTAGTGGTAGTGAATACAAATGAGATATTACGTGACATGTGACATGACATGTGGCCAAGTATGGTGACCCATACTCGGAATTAGTGCTCTGCATTTACCCATCCAAAGTGCACACACACAGCAGTGAACACACACCCGGAGCAGTGGGCAGCCATTTATGCTGCGGTGCCCGGGGAGCAGTTGGGGGTTCGGTGCCTTGCTCAAGGGCACCTCAGTCGTGGTATTGAAGGTGGGAGAGAGCGCTGTACATTCACTCCCCCCACCTACAATCCCTACCGGTACGAGACTCGAACCCACAAACTTTGGGTTATGAGTCCGACTCTCTAACCATTAGGCCACAACTTCCCCATATTAAGATCTACAGCCTATTTTATTAAGATGATGTCTTGTCTCAATTTTACAACTTTGGCGCTTAGAGGGTTAAATGCATCCATGTCCCCTCTGAGATACATTAAACTGTGTAAATACATCTAAATGCTATTTCAGACGCAGATTCCAGAAATGTTTTGTTGGAATGAAACAGTACCGGATGAAGTGCTTTTTATTCTTACCCAAAGATACGAAATAGAAGAACAAGTTAAAACGGAACACAATCTTGCTACTCAAGCTGTGTATGAACATTTATATATATATATATATATTTATTTCTTTGCTTCTTTTACATTTTGCATTTACTTGTACTTTTACTTTCAATACTTAAGTACGTTTAAGATAAAAATAAATACTTTTCGTACTTAAGTACAATAAATATCACATACTTTAAGACTTTTACTGAAGTAATATTCTAAACGGTAACTTCTACCAACTTCTACTAAAGTCATTTTCTGGTAAGATATCTGCACTTTTAATTGAGTATGACTTTCAGGTACTTTATACACCACTGGTCCCGAGCAGACCTCTGTCATGAGATAACAAGCTTATAAATCATACAGAATGAAGTTTTTAAAACTGTAAAATTGCAGACACTTTTGTGTGAAGGGTAGGGTTAGGGTAAGGGTATAGAATATATTATGGAACAACCCCATAAAACACGGAAACCAGTGTGTGTGTGTGTGTGAGAGAGAGAGTGTGAGTGTCAGAGAGAGAGAGAGAGAGAGAACCAGGAAACACGTGATTTCAGGGAAAGAGAAACTGAAGTGTAGTTGAGCTGTTATGTGTTTGTGTCTCTGTATTTAAGCAGTAAAATGGCAGAAGCCAGAGTTTCTCAGGATGAGTTCTTGTGTGCAGTGTGTCTGGATCTCCTGAAGGATCCAGTGGCCATTCCCTGTGGACACAGTTACTGTAAGATCTGTATTACAGACTGCTGGGATCAGGAGGATCAGATGAGAGTCTACAGCTGCCCTCAGTGCAGACAGACCTTCAGTCCAAGACCTGCTTTAGCTAGAAACACCATGCTGGCTGAAGTGGTGGAGAAACTGAAGAAGACCAAACTCTCTGCTGACTGTGACGCTGGAGCTGGAGATGTGCAGTGTGACGTCTGTACTGGAAGAAAATACAAAGCCGTCAAGTCCTGTCTGGTGTGTCAGGAATCTTACTGTCAAACTCATTTTGAACATCATGAGGAGTTTCATTCACGTAAGCCACACAAAGTGACTGATGCCACTGGACGACTGCAGGAGATGATCTGCCAGAAACACAAGAAGATCCTTGAGGTTTTCTGTCGCACTGACCAGAAATGTATATGTGTGCTGTGTACGATGGATGAACATAAAAACCACAACATTGTATCAGCTGCAGCACAGTGGACACAGAAACAGGTATTTAAACTAGAAATCAAGTTAATACTCAGTGCAGTGATCCAATAGTCTGTT